AAGTTACTTTAATGTCCTGATCTAAATTAAAGATAAGACAATGTGACCAAGTAGTAAAAGAACCTGAAGAGTTCTCCCCAAGGGCCTATGGCTTCCCTGGTCTTGACCATGGTCACCCCATGAACAGTCTTGCCCACGCCCCAGTGGACTGACCCACACACAGGTGCATATGATCAGCTTTCATTTGGTTATTTTTAAAAATATTTTTTTATTTATTTTTATGTGTATGCATGTATTGCCTGCATGTAGGTAAGTGCACCCGTGTCGTGCAATGCCCATGGAGGAAAGAAGAGGCTGTCAGATCCCCTGGAACTGGAGTTATGGACAGTTGTTAGCTGCCATGTGGGTTCTGGGATTCGAACCCGGGTCTTCTGCAAGAACAGCCAGTGTTCTTAACCGCTGAGCCATCTCTCCAGCCCCTTAAATATCATTTCTACCTGCTACAGGAAAAAGTAGCAAGATGGGGAAAATCAGCGTCTTCCCTGCACCACTGCAAAAACAGAGGACTCAGAACAACTACAGACATGCAGCTCAGTGCTGGCCCTTACTAAACAACCCACGAAGTCTTGAGTTGTCAGGGAAAATAGAATCAAGCTAAATTCTGGTCAATCCTAGTGAAGGATTTTCCCCTCTTTGGGGAAAATGCTTAAGTGAACTACCACAGTCTGTCAATACCTTCTGCATGTTTTCCTTCAGTGAACTTGTGTTCTTTGGATGATGACACCTTGCTCATTTCCTCAGGTTTTACTATTTGAGGAGGACTCTTTGCTCGGGATAAGAAGCACCCAAATGTCAAGCTGCTCAGACGCTGTCCTTCGGAAACCCTTGGTGTAAAGACAGCAGGTGCCTTCTTCCCTTGAAGTTCTGCAAGGTTGATAATCAAAATTGAGTTGAATTTTTCATAGCAGATTTGTTAAACACAGAATGAAAGCATGTAAGAACTTTAATAAATCAGTCTTTACACTAGAAAAAGCCTGAAGTATATCTTTTATTCATGTATAGTAAATGGAAACCCTAAGGTTGAGCACCCCAGTTCTATGTTGTTGTTGTTTTTTTAATATTTCATTTATTTTTATTTTAGTGTATGCGTGTATTGCCTGCATGTAGGTAAGTACACCCGTGCAATGCCTGCAGAGGACAGAAGAGGCTGTCAGATCCCCTGGAACTGGAGTTACAGACAGTTGTTAGCTGCCATATGGGTGCTGGGATTCGAACCTGGGTCTTTGGAAAGAACAGCCAGTGTTCTTAACCACTGAGCCACCTCTCCAGCCCCAGTTCTATGTTTAAAATATGTTTATGAACCAGGGAGATGGTTCAGCAGGTAGAGGCACCTGTTGCCAGGGAGATGGCTCAGCAGGTAGAGGCACCTGTTCAAGTCTGACAACCTCAGCTCAATCCCCTAGAGTCCACATGGTGGAAGGAGAGAACCAACTCCTGCAAGTTGTTCTCTGACTGCCACAAGTACACATCATGGTATGTGTGTGCCCCCATACATACTATACATATATGTATGCACACACAAAAAATAAATGTAAAATCTGTTTATATATTTTGAATAATCAGAGTATTTCCTAACTGAAGAGCAAAAAAAAAATAATCCCTTTAAGAGATTTTTAACTCTCAAACAAATGAAAAATTACAAACAAAATTAAACCAGATTTTAAAAACTACAGAGTTATAGGTTCTTAAAAAGTCAAGTATTGGTAAACACAATTTAAGTGTTGGTAAAAATTTTTATAATACCACTCTTTTTTTTCAGATTTATTTTTATTTTATGTGTATGAGTGTTTTGCCTGTATTGCATGTATCTAAGTGTACCATGTGTGTGCAATGCCCACAGAGGTCAGTAGAGGGTGTTGGAGTCAGACGAGGTGGTGCTGGCTTTTAATGGCAGCACTCAAGAGGCAGAGGCAGGGGGATTGCTGTGAAATTAAGGCCAGCATAGTCTATATAGTGAGTTTCAGGCCAGTTGTGGCTACAGGGGGAGACTCTGTCTCAAAAAGACAAAAAAAAAAAAAAAAAAAAAAAAAAAAGAAGAGAAAAGAAAGAAATGCACAAACTCAATAAAAATAAACATAGAAGGATGTTTTATATGAAGTACACAAAAATTCAATAAAAATATACACTGAAAAGAATTTTTTAAAATTTACTTAAGAATTCTCTTATCACATGCTAGCTATATACCTTTGGGCTTTGAAGTTACAAAGAATGCAAGCCTATGCATTTAAAATGCAAAGGACTTATTTATATCATAAAATTCTACTCTGTAACAATTTCTTGCCAAAAACCTAATACACAGAGCTGGTGAGATGGTTCAAGTGGTTCAAGTGCTTACTGTGTAAGCATGAGGACCTGAATTTGGAGGCCTAGTACCCAAATAAAAGCCAAACATGATGGTAACCCAAGCTTTGGAGATGGGGAAGGGACAACTGGATCTTCAGGACTCATGGCCAGCCAGTCTAGCCAAATGGATGAGCTTCAGGTTCAATGAGAGACCTTGTCTCAAAAAATAAGGAGATAAGATAAAGATACCTGAAGTTGACCTTGGGCTTGTGTGTGTGTGCACAGGTGGGCACACCCACTGATACACACTAAATGAATAAAGAAAGCACATGACACAAAGCAAAATTGAAAACAACATAACTGATTTTCTTTTTCAAAGCAACAATATAGGAAATTAAATATCAAAATCACTATTACGCCCTCAGGTGTAATTAATGTTTAGCTATGCTATCCACCATGGTAGCCTCTAACATGGCAAAGCTGCTTAAATTTAAGTCAGTCTTAATGCAGAAAAAATTTAAATTCAGGCCATCAGTTTCGCCAGATCTATTTCAAGTGCTCAACAGTCATAAATGGTTTGTGGCCATCCATCATGTTAGACTGTACAGGAACAGAGCATTTCCTTCAGTGCAGAAAGTAGTCAAAATTTATAAAGAACTCGAAAGAAAAATGTCCTTTTTTTGTATATCTGTGGTTCTGGGGATTGAGACCAGGGCAGGACTTCACACATGCTAGCCAAGCACTCTGAACTGAAACCCCAGCCCTTAAATGCCTTTTTAAATAGGCCAGTCTCATTGCTGACATCTGGAGTTGTCAATTGGTATTGGGTATGTGTCCTCTGAAAAGCTAGAACTGAATAGGGTCAGGTCTAGAGACCTGCACTGAGAGACACTGAGTGCACTGGGAAAAAGGGGAGGAGCCTTCACCATTTTTAGAAACAGAGCCCCAAACAGAACTGGACACGCTAATGGTGCACCAGTGTTTCAAATATGGGAAAGAAAAAGCCTATGAGAATCCATGCCTTTATAAGTCACCCCCTCCCGGATGTCATAAACTATGTAAAACCCAAAAAGAAGGTATTCTGTCAGTTTTGTCAGCCTTAGGACCTCAGAGGGTACTCACTGGTCTCCCAAGGAGAGGGGAGGGGAAAACTTAGTGCAAACAATGGGTTATCAATAGATACTCCCATTTGGCAAGATTCAAATCCTTACCCAGAAGACCTAACCGTGGGGAAGATTAGGACACTAGCAATCCATGAGTGAAATAAGTTGTGGCATTTGCAGCTAACTACCTACCAGCTCAAGCATCTTAGAATACATTGAACCACCAACAGTTGCCTTCAAAGAACACCAAATCCGGTGATGTTTTCAGAAAATAAGAAGTCAAGGAGCCTTCTTTAAAGTCTCCAGTGCAAGGGCTGTAGAGATGGCTCAGTGGTTAAGAGCACTGGCTTCTCATGCAGAAGACCCAGGTCCAGTTCTCAGCACTCATATGACTGCTAACAACAGTCTGTAATTCCAGTTCCAGGGCATCCAACAACCTCTTCTGACCTCCGTGGGCACTGCACAACATGGGTGCTCCAGACGAAACACTCATACACATAAATAAAATTAAATTAAAATGAAATAAAATAAAATAAAAGTTTCAAATGCAGCTGGACATGGTGGTGCATGCCTTTAATCCCAGCACTTGGGAAGCTTATACAGGCAGATATCTGTGGGTTCAACAACAGCCTGGTCTACATAGCGAGTTCCAGGCCAGGTGGACCTCTAGGGAGACCCTGTCTCAAAAAGACAAAAAAAAAAAAAAGTCTCAAATAAAGGTACAACTAAGTATATTGATTCTGATTCCTTAATCCCTGCTAAAAGGGTCTATTATCTTATAAGGCCAAACTTCAAGTCCTTTTGGACATCTGAAGCAGAGCTTCTAATATAAATACTTCTTTTTATCTGGTTTTGTAACACCTTTTCTCCACTTCCAAAATAACAAAGAAGCAGTTGCTTGGAAGGACTAAAATGCTCCCACTCTTCAAGATTGGTACCACTTGCTTATGATTCCTGAACTTCAAGGTTAATAGTAATATTTTTAGTTTTAGCATGTTGGATTCTTTGGGACTTAGTATGAGTTTTAAAAAGGAACAAATGGATTGCCTTTTAGAAGAGAAACAAAATTACCCAGTCAGGTTTTTCCTGCCTATATAGTAGACATTGTGGTAAATTGACACATCATTACTCCTCTCTCTTTTACTCCTGGTCCAAGATCCCTTGGGTATAGGACTTCTGGTTTGTTGGAGAAATTCTTTTTTATATACTTACAATAGTGTCTTACATGAAATTCATAATTATGTCCTTAAAACAGCAGCCAAATACTAGTAAACTCTTATACAGCCAAATAAATCCAGCTAAGCTATCTTAGTGAAAACATTTGTACCTTGTAATTTTGACTGTATTGCTCTTATCTGTTCAGTTTGACTTTGGTTGATAAAACGAAGATTCTGATTCTCCCCTTCCAGCTGAAAGAACATAGCAATACTCTTTAATCTAGAGGTAACACTAAAATCCACTTGTTTATGGTAATATTTACAAATTGATAATATGTAATTACTCTTGTTGCAATAAAATAAAAGGAGACGACAAGCAAATGAGCAGCTTTATTAGCAATCTCAACAATTATGGTGTCTGTATTTTTCTAGAACTAAGCATTTTCAGTCCCATATACATTTTTCATTGTAAAATTATTTTAAACCAAACTATTTCAGCATTTAGTCTTCATTTCTCAGATACCAAACTCATTAACTTTATTATCTTTACAGAAAAACTTCATAATGATTTAAAATTAACTCATTATTTTAACTATTTACAGTTATCATCATGAGTTTATCAATGCTTTTAATTTGAAAAATGCAAAGGACATTAAAATCTATTCTATCAAGAGATAGCACCACAACCAACTGATCAGAATTTCATGTCTCATTTATCAGAATCCTCTATTCTGATGATCTTATTCCAAAAAAGTAAATAATAAAGGAAAAATACAGTAATAAATACCTCATTTAACTTAACTGTTACCCATTCTTTGATCTTAGCTGCTTTTTCTTCTATTATTTTAGCTTCTTGTATTCTTACTTGTTTCTGAAATAACATTAACAGTCTATTTAGTTCAAACATAAACTCCTTGGCTTGGAAATGGTACATCATAAATATGAAAAGCAAATCCACTTAAAACCTGTTCCCAAGTTAATACATTTACCTCCAAGTTATCAAACAGATTTTAAAAAGTCAAAGACTGCCAGGCATGGTGGTGCATGCCTGTAATCCCAGCCCTTGGAGGCTAAGGCAGGAGGATCAAGAGTTTAATGCCAGCCTGAACTACATAATGAGATTGTGTGTGTGTGTGTGTGTGTGTGTGTGAGAGAGAGAGAGAGAGAGAGAGAGAGAGAGAGAGAGAGATTAAGATAGGCTTTTCAGCAGATACAGAAAGAAACCAAAAGGCATATATACAAGTGTGATAATTAGTCCTGACTGTCAACTTGATGGGATTTAAAGGCCCCAATGGAAATAAGCTTCTTGGTGTGCCTGAGGAAGTGCCTAGATTGAGGTGGAAAGACCCACCTTTAATGCAGATGGCACAATTCCATGGGCTAGGGCCTTGGACTGAATAAAGAGGAGAAAGTGAGCAGAGCACCAGCATTCTTCTCTCTGTATTTGTGACTGCAGCTAGACGACCAGCTGCCTCAGGCTTCTGTTGTCATGACTTTCTTGCCATGATGGACTATACCCCCAAACTGTGACTGAGATATGATAAACCCTTCCCTTTTCTTTTGTCAGGTATTTTGTCACAACAATGAGAAAATTATAGCAAGTATTGCTAATTCTAGCAATGCTCTTCTGTCTCTCAAAAAACTCATACACTGAAATGAATCCCTGGAATAGATCAACAAAATAAACCATTTCTGGAGCAGTAGAATTGAACCAACTAGGCTAGGGAAAGAACACAAATCTGCTTAGGAGCAGGGCTATTTTCTCCCTCAAACACTTAGTTTTCAAGGTCCAAGAAAAACAAACATCGAGAAACTCTAGCTCACATTTAACAGTCTTAAAACCTGGTGATGAGAGAACACGAATACCATACAAATTTCAATGGGTGGTAGAAAGCTGAAAGCCACTAACCCAAAGAAACACCAACACACACACACACACACACACACACACACACACACGCACACACACGCACACATGCACGTGCTAGTAATACAAAGTACTAGATTTTGCCTGGAATCACCTAAGACTTGAAGGGAATACCAATTTTATTTCTAACTCTCACCAATGCATGCGCTACAATCCTGTGAGTAAGAGTTCTCCTCCAAATTTATAGACTTAAGCTGTTTTTAATCTTTGTGACTATGTATTCACAAGTGCACACATTGTAAGACTTTGATGACTCAGTTTTTCCTAACCTGCTCTTCAAGTTGCAGTTCCAAGTTCTGAATGATGTCATCCTTCTCCTGCATTAGAGACTCCAGATCCTGACACTTTTTATATAGTCGTGTCTCTGATTCACTGGTTTGAATGTTAGCAGCTTTCAATTTCTCTTCCATAACCTGTACCTAAATTAGGAGAGTAAAATATTAACATTGTGCCAATAATTAATATATCACAATATTAAACTCATAATTTTACTTTAACATATACAGGTTCTTAAAAGGTTTCATTGCAAAATGAAAATATTAAAAAGCAAGGTATAATGTATTGTGATAATTATGAAGTCTGAAGACTATTCGCCAAATAGTGTTAACTTCAGGCAGGTATACAAAAGCCAGGTGTGGTGCCTTATGCCTCTAATCCCAGCACTCTGGAGGCAGAGGCAGAAAAATCTTGGTGAGATGGAGGCCAACCTGGTCTACATAGCCAGTTCCAGGCCATCTGTGACTACAGGGAGACCCTGTTTTAAAAAGAACAAAACAAAAACAAAAACAAAGGTAGGTAGGTAGGTACTCAAGAGATTATCAGACTAGTGCTATTATATAAGGTAAAGTACATGTTTTACTAGAGTAATGATATTATGGAAAGTGCTTACACAGAAGTGGAAAGTTTCTAACTCTGATTTTTCTTATGTAAACAAGGAAGGAATATAAGAGTAAACATGGCTGGTGTCCAATGAAGATTCGAATTGGATGACCTATATAATAACACATTTTGGGGGTAAACAAACTAATATAAAAATAGAACACAGTAGAAAAAGAACCCCCCAAAAAACCCATTAAAGCCACAATGACAAAATCATAAAAAAAATAATAAAAATCGAGCACAGAGGAGGGCAAGAAGTCCCAGCTCCAGTTGAAGAACTATTGGCAACTGGTAGCTGCTGGGAGAGGGAGACTCAGTTTTCTTTTCCTTTTTTAAAATTTATTTAATAACTACATAATTAGTAGAAGCATCTCATTACAACAGCATTGACATAGTCAATAACAGTTTCCAGAGCAAAGATGCATCTCTTTCAAAATTGGCTGTAAAATTTTATGTTCACAGTGTTGAACCTAAAACAGTTATACATTATTGTACTCAGTATAAACCCTATAAGACATAAAATTGGATGAGGTTTTAACCTTTAAAAAAAATCTTCATTTCTTTTTAAAATATAGTTTCATACAGATAAGCTCATTTTTAATGCAACTAACACTTAGATGTTTGCACATGTGTCTCTAATCTCTATATATTTGATTATTATTAGTCACAGTTGGTTACTTTCTGAGATTTTTTGGAACCTGAGCATGGATATAAAGTCATCAGGTAGATTTCAATGGCAATGTTTTCAATATCTACTAATTAACATGAAGAAAAATTTTATGCTTCTTCCTCAAATATAACTTTTTTTAATTTATTGATTTTTTTGTGTGTATTTCATACAGAACATCCCAAACAATCTTATTCATCTTTATACCTGCGTCCCAAATGGCACCCTCCCATAGCCTCCCTCTGCCACCCACCAACTGGAGCCTATATACTTTGTCATCCCTGTTACTGTTCACTGTCCCAGCTGTTACCCAGTGCTAGTCCATATGCTGAGTCTAGTCAGCCTATCTAGAGTTCCTTGTTTTAGGAAGATCAGCTCTTCCTCATCTAGCAGCAATCAGTTGCCAACATTCCTTTAGATAAAAGTGTGGTCTGTGGTTCATTTTCCCAGTTCTATGCTGAGTTATTGTATGGGAGTCTCTTGGGCCACCTTGGCCAACAACTCAAAGGAAGGTATCTCCTGTCTGGCATTGTTTCTTGTTATGTAGCCTTTAGCTATACACATGGACTCTTAAAGAATTATACTGATCACTTTAATCTTTGGTTATACTTTCCTTTTGGGTATTTAAGACCATATAGTTGGCCTAGAATAACCAATATATAATTTGAGGATCATTTGAGGATCTGTTCCTCGGGAGTCACATTGGCTTGGGAGGAGCCCCTGACTCCTTTCTTTTACCAGTTCCAGCTATGTGAAGATAACTCAAAGGTCTTCCTCGACTGTAGCTGGCTTCACTTGGAAGCATGGAGGAAATGTTTCCTCTGTGTTGACCCTCCTCTTTGTAGAATGGACACTTGTTCAAGTCCATCTGGTGGGGTCTCCACAGCCTCCTTGATCAAGAGGACAGGTGACTCACCACAGTTACAGGACCTTTTGAGAGATGCTCCATAGTCCCCTGGGACTTAGTCGACCTTGGAGGGCAGGGAGCAAAAAGAGACTCAGTTTTCTTTAAGGGTGTGATGGCAGGGAAGTTGACCAGGCTTCAGGGGATGGACCCACACCCAAGAGCATTTGGGGAACACAAGTTGGACTCAATCAGCCTTAAAAAAAATAATAGCATGAAGTGAGGAGAGTAGTGGGGGGGGGTCTCAGAGGAGGTGAAGGGCAGGGTCTGAATATGATCAAAATACATTCTATGAGGGCTGGAAAGATTGCACAGTGGTTAAGCACACTGGCTTCTCTTGCAGAGGACCTGGGTTCAGTTCTCAGCACCCACATGGTGGCTAGCAACCATATATAACTCCAGTTCCAGAAGATCTAATACCCTCTTCTGGCCTCTGCAGCCATTGCACAACATGAGTACACTTAGATGCATGTAGGCAAAATGTTCATACACACAAATAATTTATTTTAAGAATACATTGTATAAACTGTATAAACTCTCCAAAAAATCAGTAAAAAATAGTACTCAAAAAATAGAGATAGCCTGAGAAGGTGGGTTCGGACCTCCATCGGTGTAGTGGCTTGGATCTCAGCAGACTGCCAGAGTGCCTAGTTCTGGCCTCCCTCTGACCTCTATCTAGCTGAAGGCCTGAGAACCCAGGGGACTGCCTGAGAGCCCCCGGATCCTGCTTCCACATGGTGGTGAGCTTCCCCTAATTGTGCCATACCTATCCCCCTACATGGGATTTTGGGAGGCCCCTCCCAAGACCCCAGGGCAGATCTGGCTTTGGTAGGCTAAGGCTGAGATCCTAGTAGGCAGCCTCAGAGGGTGGGTTTGGACCTCCATTGGTAGAGCAGTTTGGATCTCAGCAGACCGCCAGAGAGTACCCAGTTCTGGCCTCCCTCTGCCTTCCCCCTGGCATAGGGTTGAGAATGCAGGGGGCTGCCTGAGAGCACCTGGATCCTGCCTCCACGTGGTGAAGGAAGCCTGAATGTACCTGACTGGAACCTGAATTGAGCTTCTGTGGGTACTCCTGAATAGCTGATGTGAAGCCATCAAATAAACCTGAGAGACCCTGAACCCTGTACCAACCAGCTTTACATAACCAATAAAGAAAGTATCTAGGGACCCAGATAATACAAACAGAAGCATAGTTCAACTTAATTCTCATATCAGAATCATAAACAACAAAAGAAATTCACATGCCAAAACCACAATGAAAGAATAATTTAAATGGAAAGCCAAAACACTATGTCCCCACAAACTCCACCAATCCTGTAGAAGAGTTCTACAAGGAGAACCCCCTAGAGATAACCCAGGACACTGAATTTAAAAGAACAGTCATAAACATGATCAAGGAATTCAATGAATTTAAAGAACACATGAACAAACAAATCAAAGACCTAAAAGCAGATAGGGATAAACTTCTGAATAAATTCACAAAAGAGATAGAAACATTGAAGAAAACTCAGGCAGAAATAAAGAAGGCAGTGCAAAACTCAATAAGCCAACTTGAAACAACAGGGGAAAGCCTCACCACTAGAATGAATGAAATGGAAAACAGGATATCAACACTTGAGGATAAAGTTGAAGAATTGGACTACTCAAGGAAAGATTATGGAAAATATTCTTTTTAATTTTTATTTCATTTTTTTAAAATTTTATGTGTATGCATGTATTGCTTGCATGTAGGCAAGTTCACCCATGTCGTGCGATGCCCACAGAGGTCAGAAGAGCCTGTCGGATCCCCTAGGACAGGAGTTATGGACAGCTGTTAGTGGCCATGTGCTGGGAGTCACATATAAAGGAAATTCCATCAGAATTACAGCTGACTTATCAATGCAAACTATGAAAGACAGAAGAGCCCGGACCAAAGTATTTCCAGTTCTACATGACAATAGATGCCAGCCCAGAATACTATACCCAGCAAAAATGTCTATTATAGTTGAGGGGGAAAGAAAAATCCTCCATGACATGAACAGCCTGAGAGAATACATGTCCACAAAACCAGCCCTTCAAAGAATACTTGAAGCAATACAGAGAGCAGAGAGAGGAAACAACTAT